GGGGAGCCCTATGTGGGATTCGATCCCAGGACCCTGGGATCGTGACCTGAGCCGAAGGCAGTCGCCTAACCGACTGAGCCACCCAGGCGCCCGGTCTTATGATTCTTAAAACAGCTCAAGAAAGTAGGAATTCCTTCCTTTCAGAGATAAGGAATGGAGGTTAAAACTATCAAGGGATTCTGGGAAGTCACCAGGCTAGTAAGTGGCAGAGCTGAGGCTAGAATCCTGCCATGCCTCCGAGCTCAATGCACATTCCACTGCCCCTCCCCAAAGGCCAGGTCTCAGAGGGGCAAGTGGGGGAGAAGAGGAGGGTCTCCTGGGATGAGGTCTTCTTCAGTCACACTGTCCTGTTGGAGATTCCCAGAGAAGAGGCATCAGGAGAGCTGAGGTGTTGAGGAGCAACTGTGCCTTCTCCTTCTGGCGGGGGTGGGGTGGGGTGGATTCCTTCCGGCAGGCTATCTTGTCCACATCGTTCCTGTCTACACCTCACAGCCCTTCCCTCCAAGCTGCCTCTCTGAGAAGTCAGCATGCATTTGTTTATTCACCCAGCCTTTATTGAGTATCTCCAATGTGCCAAGCACTAGGCATTAAATATAAAGCAATAAGCAAGACAGTGCTGACATTCTAGTAAGGGAGACAGATGATAAATAAGAACAACAACAAAAAAATAACAAGTATTTTACTTTCAAATGGTGATTAAATTCAAGGAAGAAAATAAAGGGGACAGGAGTGGAGTGACCTAGAGGGCAGGGGCTCCTAGATCCGGAGTAATCTGTGGAGGCCACTAAGATGATGTTTGAGCAGAGACCTCAGTGATGAGAAAGACCCAGCCATACAGGGTTCTGGAGAAAGAGCATTCCAGGCAGCAGGAATAACTGCAGAACCCCCAAATCTCCCAGTGTGGCCAGAGCAGAGAGAATCGGGGTGAGAAAATAAGAGAGGAGCGCAAGAATGTAGAATCTGGGGTTTAATTCTAAGTGTAACGTGAAGCTAGTAGAAAGTTTTAAACAAATGAGTGACATGATCCAATTTCATGGACTCTAAGGGCCCAGGACCGGATGATGAAAGGCCAGTGAGGAGGCTGTGGTAATAATACCAGCAAGAGTGATGGGGGCTTGAAGGAGGGTGGTAGCAGTGGAGGGGTGAGAAGCAGTCATGCAGGGTTTGGACCCACAGGCATTATGCTTGCTCAGAGTCACAAACCCAGCTCCAAGAGCGCCCACATGTGCACACAGGCCCACACATGCACATGGGGAGACTCGTGTTCCCACACCCATGGCAGCACCCAGACACTAGATAGACTCATGCAGACCCACCCATCCACACCCTCTGAGTCATTCCAGCACTGGGAGAAAAATGTGTGATTCGGGGGCCTGAATACAGTATGTCTCTCTACCACAAAGCACTGGCATCCGGCATGCCTGGGGGAGCTGGGGCTCCCCCCAGCTCTGGCACAGGGAGGGGAGGTTGTCTCTAGAGTTTCCCTGGATCTGGTGTGCCAGGAGCCAGACCATTATTACAGCCCCCATTCACCCCCAACCTGAGCTGGTCTCCCAACTCCACCACCTACTAACTGTGAGACCTTGGGGAGGTTATTTCTTCTCTCCAAGCCTGTTTCCTCTCCGTAGAATGGGGCTTATCGGGGAGGAAGAATTTCCTTCGCCCTCCAAACTCCTTCTAGCTGGACTAAGAATGAAATTGACATGAGACAAATTAACAGGAGTTTAATTTCATATGTGCGGGGAATCCACACAGATAGGAAATTCCAAAGACAGGCAAAATGAGGTATATATGTCATCCTGAACTAAAGAGAAGGGAATAGGGGTCAGGGACTTCAAAGGGAAGGAATACAATTCACAGAAGATGAAAATGAATAAATATTTGGGAAACAAATGTTTGCCAGGCCACTCAGAAACCATGGGATGTAGAGGACTTTGATCAAACAAGCCTTGCTAGGTTCCCCCCGTCTACCATACCTAGTTCATATAAAAATGTAGTTATCTGTGGTGATAGCTCTCTTCCTGGAGCCGGTCCTCTATATGAATTCTTTTAGGCAGTTGAAAGAGAGGTAAAGAGCTTTTCCTGAATCTGCTGGGTTTTGATTGCTTTTAAGTCAAAGCAATCTTCATGCCAAAGTGGCCTATTTTGGGGTGGCCTGCCCTTGGCCCCTACAGGCCCATAACCCCACCCTCACAAGACAGTAGCAAGGCATGGATGAAGTAAGTTGCAAGACCCTGGCCTGGGACAGGCATCCAGCAGAGAAGGGGAGAGGAGGTGGTGGAGAGCACGGCCCTGGCACCAACAGCCCGACCTAGAATCCAACTGTAGTTTTAAATGAGTGCCTTGCCCTCTCTAGATTTCACAATGAGTGGCCAGCATTTATTGAGCACTTACTCTGTTACAACTGTTCTCTTCATCTATGAATGAGGAGCATAATAGTATCTACCTCGTGGGGTCATTATAAGGACTAAAGGAGATAATGTTGCACCAAACGTTTAGCTTGGTGGCTGGCTCACAGTAAATGCTGCGTAAATGGCCATTGTTTATCAGCAACCCTTCCTTCCCGCATACAAGCTCTGCGGTTACTTAACCTCTCTATGCCGCGCTCGGGCCGAGTAACAGGCCTGCTCTCACAGGGTCATTGGATGGTCACGTGAATCCATCCGCGTAAAGAACTCAGAACAGCACTTGGCACATAGGCAATGCTCCACAAATGTCACCTGGTCACGATCATACAGCTTTTTCCTTTCATTCTGTCAGGCGGGCACGGCCCCCGGCACCCCCGCCGGGCACCATGGACTGGAAGACGCTCCAGGCCCTCCTGAGCGGCGTGAACAAGTACTCCACGGCGTTCGGGCGCATCTGGCTGTCGGTGGTGTTCGTCTTCCGCGTGCTGGTGTACGTGGTGGCCGCAGAGCGCGTGTGGGGGGACGAGCAGAAGGACTTTGACTGCAACACCAAGCAGCCGGGCTGCACCAACGTCTGCTACGACAACTTCTTCCCCATTTCCAACATCCGTCTCTGGGCCCTGCAGCTCATCTTCGTCACGTGCCCCTCGCTGCTGGTCATCCTGCACGTGGCCTACCGCGAGGAGCGCGAGCGCCGCCACCGCCAGAAGCACGGGGACCAGTGCGCCAAGCTGTACGCCAACGCGGGCAAGAAGCATGGCGGCCTGTGGTGGACCTACTTGTTCAGCCTCGTCTTCAAGCTCGTCATCGAGTTCCTCTTCCTGTACGTGCTACACACTCTCTGGCACGGCTTTGGCATGCCGCGCCTGGTGCAGTGCGCTCACGTGGCGCCCTGCCCCAACGTCGTGGACTGCTACATCGCCCGGCCCACCGAGAAGAAGGTCTTCACCTACTTCATGGTGGGGGCCTCCGCGGTCTGCATCGTGCTCACCATCTGCGAGATCTGCTACCTTATCTTCCACAGGGTCCTGCGGGACGTGAACAGGAGCAAGGCCCCCAAAAGCCGCAGCCTCCCAGCCTCCACCTGCCGCTGCCACCACAAGCTGGTGGAGGCCGGGGAGCTGGGCTCCGACTCTGGTGACGACAAGAGGCACGCGTCGGCACCCACCATGACCCCCATCTGACCACAGGCTGGGGAGCGGCCCTGGGGCTCCCACTGGGGACAGGTGGGGCGGGACTGCACTGGTGGAGGGGTCTGACAGGTGCTGGGTGCCCGCCCCCCTTGAATTCCCTAATCTATCCAATTGCATTTCTGGCAGGCTTCCTGAGCACTGGGCACTGTGCTGTCTGCCTGGGTGTAAGTCTCCTACCCCAGAGCCGGCCAGCCCTGGGGGGGACAGACATTGAAACAAGCAAATTAGCTACTGCATGCAAGGGGACACTGAGGGGGCTTCTACCTAACCCAAGAGGGGGTGCTCAGGCAAGGCTTTGCTGAGGAAGTAATGTTTGAGAGACGTGGGAAGCACTTCCCAGCAGAGACAACAGCAGGTGCAGAGGCCTGGAGGCCACAAAGAGGGAGACGCTTGCCCTGGTTGGAGGCCCCAGATCAAAGGGAATCTCCATTTCCTTGGAGACTTCTGGGGCGGGAAGGAAGTAGCCTCTAAGCAGTGGGAGGTCTGAGGCCTGAGAGTGAGCTTGTGACGAGGAGCAGGGGGAGGTGACACCAGCCCCTGCCTGAGATACGCAGGGATCCTCCTGGTCCCCACTGCCTTCAGGGGAAGCCCCCCTCTGCCCAATCCTCCTCCCCGCAGGTTCAGACAGCTTTGCTCCCATCTTCTCCCCACAAATGTGCTCAACCTGGTGCCAGCCTCCCAGACCATGCTCCCAGAGACTCGAGGTAGATATTTCTTGAAATCAATAAAGGCTGTGTTTTATACAGGTTGGCTCCGTCCTCTGTTTTCCACTCCCACCCACGAGACCCTGAGGGCAGGGAAGGTAGCCCTCAGGAGGGGAGAGGGCTATATGTCTGTGGGTGAGGCTAGGATGGGGCTGTGGCCAAGGCTGGAGCAGAAGCTGGGCTGGGGCGGGGGTTGATCCACGTGGGCATGTGGGGTGGAACCTCCCAATATATATGTTGTGATTATAGGTATGGTCACAAGAGGGCGCTGTGCTCCTTCTGCAACTGAGCTTCTAGCATTTATAGTGAGACCCTGACCTGAGCATGCGCAGGGTCAACTGTCCTCTCTGTGGACAAGTCACACCCCCTCCACCTTTATAACCCAATCATTGCCACCAACAACCCACATCCCCACCCTGTGTACACAAAATCCCGGTTATTCACACTCTCACTCCTTATATATGCTCACAACAGCCCGGTTGTCTCCTCTAAAGACGTGAGTCTCAGCGTCACTTGAACATTAGTCAGCTCCTTCCACTTTCCCTGAGCATTTTCAGCACATGAGGGCCCTGGCAGGATGTTGAGGCTGCACAGGGGAATAGGAGCTGAGCTCAAACAGCCCAGAGCCAGGGGCGGGGGGCGGCGCAGAAACACACTTGTCTTCTGCACTGACCAACTGCTGGAGTGGTTCACAGCCCCACTCCCAGCACCGTGTGGTGACCTGCAATTTAGAGGATACCAACATCCAGGCCAGACCAGAGTGGGAAGCAAAAGGGGGTGCAGGGCTCTACTAATCCAGAAAAACACTTAGTGATCAGAGGCCAAGAGCCAGAAATCTAGGAGCAGTGAGCCAAGAGCCAATGCAGGCAGGGAGAGGGCAGATCACTGCGTCCACAGAACTGGCTGTGGTTCACCTTTGTTCTTACGTGCGGTCATTAGTGGGGTGGGTAAGCCAGCAAAGCTTCAAGGGCCCGGGGTTGGGCTGACACCCACCCCCTAGGTCTGAATCATAGCTTAACCACTTCATGACCAATGTCACTGCACTGCACTGTGGGCAAGCATTCAGGATTTCAGTCTTGTCATCAGAACAGTGAACTGCATCAGTCAGGGGTCCAACAAGAAACAGATGGCACAATCAAACCCAGTAACTTTCAAGAGTTTCCTTGAGGGATTGTTTTTAAAAGGTATGGGCATGATTGGGGCGCCTGGGTGGCTCAGTTGGTTAGGCGTCCGACTCCTGATTTCGGTTCAGGTCATGATCTCAGGGTCATGAGATCGAGCCCCACATCAGGCTCCACACTGGGCATGGAGCCTGCTTGAGATTCTCTCTCCTCTCCCTCTGCCCCTCCCCCTGCTCGTGCTCCCTCTCTTTCTCTCTCTCTCTCTCTCAAAAGAAAAAAAAAATCGAAGGGTATGGGCATAATTAAGGAAACCCACAAAGACCACTTCAGCGCCCTGGGGCTAGTGACAGGGTTGCCACAGACAGGGACCACACTGGAGCTGCAAGGATGCATTCAACCCGGTGACCAAATAAATCCCCCAACTTCACTTTCGCATCTCCTGCTCACTGGCCAGTGGCTCCCACCGACCCAGCCCAACCAGAATCCGGAGGGCAAGGGACCCCAGTGAGGCAGTCGGTAGGGCTCGGCCTCCCGGGGCACAGAGCAGGGTGGAGAGTTGATCCAAGGGGCAAGGGGACCATATTCAGCCTGGCAGTCAGAACAGCACCTACTCCTAGGATGGTTGTAGAGATAAAAGGAGACACTGTAGGTAACACAGCAGTACGGTGCTAATGTATCCAGTAAATATCCAGACACCAGCATGCTCGCTGCCCAGGCCACAGCACAGGTCAGACCCAGCTCAGACTGGATGATTGTAAAGGTCTCAGGGAAGGGTGATGTCTCCTACTTGCTGCCAGACATCCCAGCATCTTCCAGGATGGTTTCAGCTGCCTGGTCACCAGTGGCTTGGAGGTCAGAGCACCCGGAGGATGTCATCGGCTATCCCAGCACAACTGATCTTCTCCAGGCTGTGGACGAGGACCGTGGATGATGGAATGTCCCCGCTCTGTGTGTCCCACCTGTGGCCTGAGCGCTGTTCTGAGCAGGGCAGCTCACTCTTCCCATCCAGGATGTGTTCACCATCCAGAGTCCCCAGCACACCAGGCTGTCACCACAAGGTGGCTCTCATGTCCCCCGGCCTTCTCTTCTCGGGGCCCACACTTCTGTCTCCTCCTTCCCCATCGCATGAGGATTCACTTGCAAGCTTCCTTCCATCACGGATAGGATAGATTTAGATTTCAGATACACAGCCCTCACAGCCCCACCTACTGCAGGAAGCTGCCCCACCACGCAGCCCAAGGTAGACATTGTCTCGTATTCACCAGCCAGGTCCAAGCCTCCTATTACAGATTGAATGTTTGTGTCCTCCCAAAATTCATACACTGAAATCCTAATTTCCAATGTGATGGCATCGGGAAGTGGGACCCTTTCAAGATGGAGCCCTCAAGAATGGGATGAGTGCCCTTAGAAGAAGAGACACACGAGGGATGAGCTTTCTCTCTTCACCATGTAAGACACCATGAGAAGCCAGCCCTGCGGAAACCGGAAAGAGGGTCTTCACCAAGAACCCAACCATGCCGGCACCCCGATCTTAGACTTGCAGCCTCCAGAACTGCGAGAAGTAAATTTCCATGGTCTGCTCCCCGCCCCCAGTCCGCAGTATTCTGTTCTAGCAGCCTGAGCTAAAACAACCACATCATCTCACCCCTGGATTACTACAACAAGGCCCCTGCTTCCTGCCCTCACCCTGGGGAAGCAGAAGAATGGGAAGGGGAGGGAGCAGGATGGAGCGACAAGACATGTGGCAGGGCGCAGTGTCCATTCAACAAAGATGGTCCTTGAAAGGAGTCCCTGACCCCCGCTTGGCTCAGTCCCTGCCTGGGGCCACCCCACAGCTGGAGCAGACCCAAGAGAGCTAGCAGCTGGAGGCTGTCAGCTGCCCAGACTCCCGCAGCGGGGCAACAAGACCTGCCATGAAGGGGGAGGGCTGCATTCGCCACTCACGCCCTCAGTCTACTCTCCGCACCACAGTCCTGGTGAGCCTGTAAAACCCAAGTCAGGCCATGTTGCTCCCCTGCCCAAGCCTCCTGAGACGCCTCACAGGGGCTTTGAGGGGCCTCTAAGATCTGCCCCACCCCACACCTTCCATGTTCTCCAGCATGCTTCTTTTGCTCACCTCACTCCAGCCACACTGACCTCCTTGCTGTCCCTCAAGCAGGAAACACCAGGCACGCTCCTGTCTCAGGGCCTTTGCACTCTCCGTTCCCTCCTCCAACAGGCTCTTTCCCCCAGAGAGCCACAGGGCTCCCTCCCTTCCCTCACGTTATGCATCAGATGTCAGCCCCTTAGTGAGAGTATCTCCTCTCTTCTATTCAACATCAAAACGGCACCCTGCACCCTCCACCCTCCCTCCCTCCCTGCTTTCCACATAGCATTTATCACCATCGAGCAGGTTCTGTGTTCTGTCTCCCCATAGCTAGAGTATAAAATCCACAAGGACAGGGACATTGGTTGTCATCCCCTGGATGGTCTCCAGTGTCTAAGACAGTGCCACAGCACCCAGTGGGTGCTCAGTTCAAATTTGTTGAATTAGTAAATTCATATATGGGCCTGGTGCCCTGCTAGGTGCTGGGGATGTAAGCAAGACCCAGCTGCCTGCCCTCAAGGGGGCCCGCAGTCTAATGGGGCAGGATGGGAGGGGGTAGACACAGGTAAATGATGCACCTAGGGCAGGAGGAGGGGAAATGGGGAGTTGTTTAACTGGTACAGAGTTGCAGATTTGCAAGATGAAAAAGCTCTGGAGGGGCGCCTGGGTGGCTCAGTCGTTAAGCGTCTGCCTTCGGCTCGGGTCGTGGTCCCAGGGTCCTGGGATCGAGCCCCGCATCGGGCTCCCTGCTCGGCGGGGAGCCTGCTTCTCCCTCTCCCACTCCCCCTGCTTGTGTTCCCTCTCTCGCTGTGTCTCCCTCTGTCAAATAAATAAATAAAATCTTAAAAAAAAAAAAAAAAGGAAAGGAAAGGAAAAGTTCTGGAGTTCTGTCCCTCAGCAGTGGGAATGTACTTAACACTACTAATGGTACATTTTTAAATGGTTAAGACAGTAAATTCTATGTTACATGTTTTTTGGTAAAAAAAAAAAAAAACATTAAGGAAAGAATTTTAAAAAACAACAACAACAAATTCCCAAAATAAAACAATGTACCCAGGAGCAGTACCTGAGCCGCTGACAGCACAAAGGCTCACCTAAGCCGGTGGAGGCAGAGGCCGGCAAGGGGACTTGTGGGAGAAGGTGACATAGAGCAAAATCCTGGAAGACTCCCAGGTTCAGCTTGTGAGGGTGCTCCAGGCAGAGGGAACATGCAGACACAGGCAGAGTGCGTGAAGAACCACAGTAATGAGGGCAGCTGAATCAGAGAGTGAAATGGGGAGAGGGATGAGGCTGGAGAAGGCAATGGGGAGCCACAGAAGGGTTCTAAGCAAGGCAGTGTGCAGTCAGATCTCTGGGGAAAGGTGGAGGCTGGAGGCCAGGAGACCAGCTAGGAGGCCATTGAGACAGTGGCCCATAAACAGGATCAGAGCGGTGGGAAGAGAGGGAGGTGTGGGGTTCCAGGGATGTCTCCCAGGTGGAGTGGCCAGGTTGTGGGGATTGTCTTGGCTGATTCTGCTCTGCTTTTCCTTAGAAAGGGGCCTGGTCATTCAAACCCTGATCCCCAGAGCCCCTGAGGAAGGGCTGAGAATAGGGTGAGGGGCCTTGCTGTCTCTACCTGCTCCTCCCTCGTTCCAGTAGATGGGATCAGAAAGGCTTGGGAGAGCCTGGGCCCAGCAGCAGGAGGGGAACTCTGGGATCCTAGGCTGTCTTGGGGGCGTGGTAAGAAGCCGCCTCCAGGGACCTCCGTTCTCATGCCCTCAGGGGTCAGAACTAAGTGGGCGCAGTTGTCAGCTTTGGAAATCCAGGAGGCGCTCAGCCTGGCCCTGAGGGACTG